CGACCTGTGCTGGCCTCTGTTTTAGTGGCCCCAAAAAACCAATCTTTCTGTCCGAACACTTCTTACCTCACTGAGAGGCTTTCAGGTGCAGCCACCTCTGCATCAGAGCGACGATTTAAATTTGGTGATCTGACGAACTTCCTGCCGATGGTGCCCTCCTCCATTAGCCTTCTTCGTGCCCTCGCGAGCAGAGCCAAGTTTAGAATCTATCTGCAGAAATGCCAACCACTCTATCCATACTTCAAAGACGGAAGCAGCTTGTGAGAATGAAGTGTCTCTCACTTGTGGTCTTTGTAGTGCTGAAAACATGCCGAGCAGTGTTCCACGATGAAGAGGAGGTAAGATGCCGCCGCGCCGTGAGGCCCTTCCATACTCCATCAAAGTCAATTCAGATAATCTCTCTCCGTCGGTCGACTTGGGCTCGCCGTGGTCGTTGCTGCCCCCGGAGACTGTGGACCGTGAAGACCTTGATCAGAACATAGATTTCAACACATTTCTGATGTTGAGAGGAACAACAGAATGAGCAGTGTGGGTGAGGCAGGTCTTCTAAGTCAGTCTAGAATTACCAATAAGCTGAGAATTCTTCAAATTTAGGAGGAAAAATCTATTTTACCCCGCTTCACTGCCATACGGACACAAAGGTTTATGACATGATTCAGAAGAAATACATTTAATGTTTGCACTATTCCAACTTAAAATAGGATTAATTCGGTAAGTGGTAAAGAAATGAAAGAGAAGTAATAACTTAAATATATAAACCTGCCATTTAAAGAAACACAAACACTTTACTTTTAGCTTGCCTGCTGTTTTGATTAACGTGCCTATTTCTTGCCTGATTAACATGCCCTATCCCTTGCCTGATGAATAATTTACATCCTTTATTTAACCAGATAAAAGTCCTTTGGAGGAATCAAATCTCTTCTTCAAGGTGTGACCTGGCTATGAGGTTATTATAATCACATTAAGTCATTAAATGTGTGTGTTAATAATATATCAAACAGCAAATCTGATATTTTAATTATGACATGCAGGAAATCTGTGGCGAGCCATGACATGTCATCTCAGCCTGGCCTGTGATTGGCTGATTTAGTGCATGACAAGGCATTTTTGTCGCTTTTGATTTATCACACTTTTGCTAAAAAAATTAAGCTTTTAATATATCAATTCCTTCTTTTGATTTTTTTGATTTTAAGAATCCTTTTTTTAAAAATATATATATATTTTGTTAAAAAAAGAAATCCGGTTTACCTTTTTAGTGTTTTCGGGAGTTTGATGGCCTTTTTTTAATGCATGTATGGTTGTACATAAGTGTTATGGATGTCTTCTTAGTGTTTTTTTTAGTATGGTATACATGGATTGTGGCATGTTTGGTGTACAGATAACATGTATTTCATGTGTGAAAACATGTACACCAGGGTTTCCACTAGGATTCTTTTTCTCGGCGGTCAAATGTCCGGAAAGAATTAATTTTACCGGACAAAATTTGAAGCTTACCGGTCCGTTTCAATAATAAAATAATAAGAATTGTGTAGCAGAGTTTCCGTTCGCAGTAATTAAACCGGACTAGGACCGGATATGCCTGATGTTTTGAAACTCAGTTAATGGGAGTCATTTTTATATTGCTTCAGTTTATAATCGTAACAGATCGAAAGTTCGGATACATTTTTCAATAAATGATTCCACAAACAACAAACAACATAATTATTACATTCAAAGAAACTACTTGTAGTAAAGGAAGTACATTATTCAAAAGTTTTACATTGACTTTGGATAATAACACGGGAGATACAGATCCTCTCTTTTACCCTCTCCCTCCTGACAGCCCGTCAGCTTCTCATGCAGCTCACTAAACAGTGCATCAGGTGATCATGCAGCTGATGTCCGGTTACATTTCACTCGCGTTTATGTCCATATCGATCAGATCCAGCTCTACTGATTGGCCTTTATAGAGAGCACCGATCAAACTATTAAGAGTGAATATCGGCCGATAATGATCGACGGCCAATTGATCGGAGCATCCCTAATTATTACCGGACATTTTGACAGGCAGGTTTTGAATTTACCGGTTTTTAATACATTTTACCAGCTGAAAACCGGTAATTATCGGCTAACAGAAACCCCGATGTACACGTGAATTTTAACCTTTTTTTTAAAAACAAATTTGTATTCATGTTGATAAGGCTTCTATTCATCTGTTTACTCTGAGCATAAATGATAATCAAGTAAACTTAAAATAGTTATTCTAAATGTATTTGAATCACCTGTCACTGTGGGTTTGCCCCTTAACGTGCTGAGAAGGTTAAAGCACCAATCTCATAAACTAAAAAGCTAATGCTGCTGCCCTACAAAAAGTGATTTAACACTTTGAACACAGGGTGTTCTGTCCGTCTGAACTCACGTGAGGCAGCAGGTGGAGCAGAGCGTCTCCACTCAGTGTTCCCACGGCGAGCGCCACCAGGAAGGTGAGCAGGAACTTGAAGCAGGACTGTTTGAGGATGGGAACAAGCACCACGCCCAGCAGAGACAGCAGGCTGATGATGGTGATGGAGACGAACCCCCACAGCCACACCCACACTGCGGAGAGACAGGGAGACGGATGTAAGACAGGTATATTCACTCTACAGAGCATGAGTAACAAGCACGGCCACACCCTATGTTTTGCAAATGCATTTTATTGTGAAAGTCCATAAAAAGAACTCAGCCACAGCATCAGCCTCATTTAACGGCTGGCTTAAGATATCGTTCTACCCCTCCTGTTCCCGTGTGAAGGAAAGCATCCTCCAGAGAATCTCAATCCCTGTGTCCTTGTGATGACACATGATGCCTGAAGCCAGAAACGTAAAGTGACATTTCAGCAGAATTCCACTCTCCTCATCTGTTATATTCAAGGCCGCAAGAGAGAGAGAGAACAAATGGGAAAGGTACACTATCATTTAAACTGTCAGTCCGTCTGTCAGAGAGAGAAAACTTCTCGATTCCTTCGTCACAGAGGACAAAATGTTTAATGTCGTATGAAATTCAATGTCACGCCAAAGCCGATGGGTCCCTGACTGCAGACGTTCAGCTATAGGACGAGTATTGACTGGAACACAGGGAGCATATAATGCACATCTTACAGACCATTTCATTTAGTGAGGCCTTTCAGGACAGCAAACTGGAGCAATAGTCTGAAAGTTAGTCATTTACTAAGGTTAGATTGCTGTAATTGGCTTGACGGCAACAAATATGGCCTTGAGCACAATGTCTTGGTAGAAAACAAGCTGTGCATCAAAAGCAGAGGAAAAAAGGTGCACAGTATTCAAAATGTATTTAGAATTAGAATGATTTGGTAATTGTTGTTGTTTTAAAGGTTAAATACACATATGAAAAACTTATTTCTTCAATTTCTCCCATTCAAAAAGTAAATTTTTTTAATTAAATATTCCCTAAAAAGGCAATAATACATGTGATGATGGTCACATGAGTGATTGTGTAGATCAAACCCCATATAAGCATTTTTTTTCAAGGATTATATTCAAGCATTTACTTCCATTTTTGAAACTTTTAAGACTTTATTAGAATCGTGTGTCAGTGGAGAGGTCAAAACTGAGCAATGTATTATTTCAGGACTGTGGGCTGTTTAGTCTTAGCATGAGGCACTGACAGCTCTCTCAAGTTTTATTCTTTTGCATTTTCAGCACTGGGCAGGACCTCGGCACAAACATGTAAATACTGCACACATTTGTTTTGACAATATGCAAATAAATGCATAGAAATGTCATTTTGAAGTACTGTTAACATGCACAAAGCATTTCAATAAGATATCCAAGATGGGGTTGTATTTATGTAAATTATATTTGCATTAATGTCTGACATTTATTAAGGTTGGGCATATCTATTTGTATTTTAAAGCATTTGTGATCTTATACATAACTAATACATACAGGAAGTCTTGTGTTGTTCTGAGCACAGACAGTCACTATATGTATGGTATATGTAATAAAAAGACAACACCTTCCTTGATATATATTTGTAAGAATGAGTAAAATGTTGATCCAGAATCCGAGTTCCCAATAATATTTGAGGTTGGAGTGTCTCTTTAAAATTACCCATAGTCCTTATTGTTAGGAGGTAGAATGGTCACAGCATATTTTATGGTTATACAATTATTTTAATTGGTTCCCTTCTATATAGAGCAGTGTTGCGGATGAAATGCAAAACTACCGGTCAAATTATTTCTGTGTATATAATTTAACATTATTTTAAAAAACGGTTGATATGATGGCTATATAGAGAACCGTCGATTTAAAATCAAGTGCTGTTTTTTTATTTTGTTAAGCAAAGAGAATCCTCTTTCTGTTGGCACAATGAAGACTAGGATGAAAAATCCCTCGTCCAGTTGGCCTCTTGGGATAGATTTAGCTTGAAACAATGGTGAAAACGTTTTTCAGGTTGCAACTCTGCATTGATACATTTGAGCTTCCATAGCCGGAGCACTGTCCTAACAGCCATGGCATCTAATTGCTTGTGACATCGATGATATGGGGAATTATTTTCACTGAATGTTATGTCCGGAGGGATTGAAATTAGCTGGACTTTTCACGAGTACATTTTTCCCGGAAAAGCTGGACCACACCGGTTATCCCTGGATAGTATTTTGGGGAGAAGCTTGTCATTAGTAAGTACAAACTGGACAAGCGAAGGTTATTTCCTCATCATATATGAAAATGTCTTTAATAACCCTCGCTTTCTCTTCGATACAGAAGTCAAATATGGCACGGTCGACTGCTTTCTTATTTGTCTCTTGGAGCGGAACACCTTGCAGCCCTGAGAGGTGTCTGAACATCAGGCAGCAGTACATCACTGCGGGTCCTTCACACTCACACAGCTCATCTACTTCTCCCTCTCATTACCTTTATGCGGTTGTGCTTTTGTGTGGAGCCGTGGAGGTGTGCTGGTGGGGGGAGTTGGACGATAAGGGAACAGAAGAGAGGCGAAGGAGACCCACCGGTCTGTGTCTTCTCTCCAATTACGCATCCCCTGTGAGCTGTGGCTCAGAAAAATGGCCCAGGGTGTCGCTTAGGCTCTCCTAATTGGCACAGCACACGAAAAAAAAGAAGAAAAAAAGAGGGGAGTGGGGACCTGAGAGAAGCCGACTGCAACATTTCCCCATCTCCCCCATGGATGGCGGCGGGAGGTAAAGGAGAGATGGTCCACGACGCGTGGCGAAGCCTGTGGTCGACTCGGTGCACAATAGCAGACAATCTAGTGGCGGTGGTTTTCCACTAATGAGGAGCCGTGCTTGCCCTTTTGACTCGTTCCCGCTGCGTTCCTCCTCGTCATTACCATCTTTATGACTGTTTCCAGTGCGCGTGATGGGGAAGTGTGTGTAATTATTAAAGATTTAAAAAGGGTGAAGTGTTTGGGAATTCCTCCAATCCCATGGTTGAACTTTTCAGACCTGAAGTGTTCACAGAAACTTTAGCAGCTCAAATAGTTTTGGTCATAAAAGTGGGACTTTGGACCTCTCATTAAAAATAAATCGTGGTTGTGCAGAACATCTCGTGACCCCCTAGACCTGCCGTGTTGTTTACAGTGACAGCTCCCAAACTATTTTGCATAATGTAAGTGAAAACTAAAATCCAATTATAATAAAGAACATAGGAACAAAAAGGTGGAAATGCAGTGTGGACAGATTGATTATCATATAATGCATTTTCATTCCAGGTGGCTGGATATATTCCTACAAATGTAATGGACATTTAAATAATTTGTTTAAGCAGCTATGGGTTAATTTTAATATTTGCATACATCTTGATTCCTTGTTTGATTTGTGCCAGTTTGTATGGCTATATGACCTTTATTTCACAGCCTGTAACTCATTAACTTTAAAACGCTTTGATTTTATCATTTGAATTCTCATAAAGTGGGAAACACTCCCAGAGAGAGCGGGGCTTCAAAGCGACCTTCATCTTTAACAGCTGATCTTTCAACCTCTTCCTCTGTTTTCAGAATTGTATTAATCCAGGGATTTGGAAACTAAAAGCAAGTAATCAATGCAAGGAAGATTCCTTTTTTAAACAGAAGTGAGATGGTTCCTCAAATACGTTTTTTTGGTGGTTTAATACACATATTAAGGCCACTAATGTGCTGTCATGACAACTATTCTTACTAAATAACAAGGGCACACAAAGCACCCTTAACAGAGTGCTGCAGTTAGGCAAGTTTTTATTACATAATGTACTCTATCAACAGCTGCATGTGATATGCCAAAATGTGGCCGCCTATTCATTCAAATATTAACTTTCTCCCTGGGGAATATGGCCCGAGACACACATGGCAGGCTGGGTTTTTTTCCAACTGCTCTCTTTTTTGGCTCTTTATTTTGTACGATAATATTGTGCTGTGTTAATGCATGTGGCATACATTTGGGAAAAGGTATTCGATTTTTCTTTTATATTTTGCAAGTTGAACCTATGCTCCTATAATTAGTCTTTGATAAACTGCTTATACAAAGTACAGAAACCTAAAATGTCCGTTATGAAACCACATATTTGGATCCGAGAGCATAAACTAATGCATTCTGTTATATCAGCCTTTCAATTTAGAGCATTTGAGCCTTTTTACCCATGTTCGGCGCATATACATGTTTTTCAAGGTTTCCAGCCCACGTTTCAACTCTGGTACTGAAAAGACACGGTCGCATTTAAAGGGTTAAATCCTAAAGATCATTGGATATTTGGTACTAAAGTTTATTAAAGTTCCCTTAGCATTCAGGTAACCAAAAATAATTACACTTTTGAGTATTTTTCATGAAAAAAAACACAACAGTGGCGCTAAATAAACAAACTGGCAATTAATAGGTTTAAATAAAAAAACATATATTATTTTAGCCTATTGTTTAAACTTAAAGGTCCCATGTCATGCCTTTCCGGTTATTACCCGTCCCCTTGTGTGTTATGAAGGTTTTTATGCATGTAAACGGTCTGCAGAGTCAAAAACCGTCAGAGTACACCCTGTAGGGAGTAAAACTCTTACACAGAAAATACCTCCCCAAAACGCCTCGTTGGAGATTTCTCATTTTCTTCCTGGGTATCGCTACGTGGGGATACCCAGTAGCACCCCAGAGCTATGGCCGCACGCCTCTGCCCAGCCTTTCACGAAACAAACGCTTCCCAAGACCTTTCAGCGATTCGTGCCGGATATGTACAGCGTAGGGCACTGAAGAAACGATGCTGTTTCCTACTTTGTTTGGACCAAAGCGGGAAGATTCGGGTACACAGCTGTAAGTATTCATTGTTTGTTTTGTGTATTTATGATGTTTTAAAACAAACAAGGTATCTACCTCGACTGTTTTAAAATGGGTAAACGTTTTTCGGGCTATCTAAACGTGCGAGCAGCTGCACTTCACTTGACCAATCAGAGACACTGGGCTCACATGAAGGGGGGGGCAGGAGTTTTCTAACAAGCCGTTTAGGACAGAGAGTGAATACCACATACTATACAGAGATGCTGTATGAGAAACCAATGTGAGTTTGGAAAATTGCACAGTATTTTTCTATTTAGTACACCTCAACAATGGAAGTTATGATCAGTAGAAAAGACCATGGACATAGGTACACTTTAAGCAGTTTAAAATATTTTTACTCTGTGGAAAGTGGAACATTATATAAATATATTAATATTTGTGTAGCTCTTTATCTTTCAAAGATACTCCATTAGAATTAAAGTGACTATTTTTAAAAGTTTGGCACCAGGGTTAATATATTCAGTGTCTATCGACCTGCTGATAGCCATTAGTCATGCATGTGCTCATCGGGACTTGGATTGACTGAAAGAATGAATCAATTCATTATTATGCTAAATAGTGGCTGGCATCCAGTAACACCTTAAAAATAGCAAACATCTCATTATATGTTGAAACAGTAACTAGCACATTAACTCCCTCAAAAACACAAATCCATGGCAGGTGTTTTCCAGCAATCCATGGCCTACACCATGCATTTAACTGCCAGTGTCCAAGAAGTTTGTATAAAATCA